GTCAGTGATGTGAATAAGCAGTAGGGAAACGTAACTCTAGGAAGGAATTAGAATGAATACTTGGGAGTCTAGTGGTTAAAGCCCCAGGAGACTGTGAGTTCTAGTTCCACTTTATGGATGAAAGCCGACTGGGGGACTTTGGGCCAGTCACTAGGAGATTGTGAAGTCTACAGTTGTTGTTAGTTGTGAAGTCGTGTCCGACCCATCGTGACCCCATGGACCACGTTCCTCCAGGCCTTCCTGTCCTCTACCATCTTCTGGAGTCCATTGAAGCTCACGCCTCCTGCTTCAGGGACTCCATCCAGCCACCTCATTCTCTGTCGTCCCCTTCTTCTCTTGCCCTCCATCTTTCCCAGCATCAGGCTCTTCTCCAGTGTGTCTACAGTAGTCCCACCTTAGACATAGACATGAAAGCAGGCTAGGTGACTTTGGGTCAATCACCAGGAGAGGGCGAGTTCTAGTCTCACTTCTAGGTCTGAAAGCCAGCTGGGTGACTTTGGGCCAGGAGACAGCGAGTTCTAGTCCTGCCTTAGGCACGAAAGCCGGCTGGGTGACTTTGGGCCAGTCACCAGGTGACTGTGAGTTCTAGTGTTGCCTTAGTCAGGAGAAGCTGGCTTTGGGCCAGTCACGCTCTCTCAAGCCAACCCACCTCACAGGGTGGTCGTGTGGAAAATAGCAGGGGAAGAGCATTAGTATGTTCACCACCCAGGAAATACTCCTGTCAGGATTGGCGGGGTTCCGGTTTACAGATGCATTACTGACAAAACGGACAGGCAAGCGACTGCATATAAATAGGCAGCAAAGCTCAGGTTGCCTCATGCTGATGATGTTAGCTAGTTGGGTGATTGAAATGTCTGCAAGTCAACACACCAAGCCCAGCCAGCACCTAGGATCCCACCGTCCTCCTCCTGCTCGTCCTCCTCCACTCTGCAAACCCCACTTCCTTCTAGAACTGATGATGTTACCTAGTTGGGTAATGAAATGTCTGCAACCAAACAACCAAGCTCAGAGAGCACCCAGGACCCCACATGTCTCCTGGTTCCTGGATTAACCAATATTATGTTCTCATGAGCCACACGCGCTAATCAAAGCAGGCTAGGTTCACCCCTCTTGCAAAGCCAGAAAAACCCAAGTTAGTGGGGGGGGGGTTAATCAAGATTAATATTTTGGGTCAATACAGTCAGTGGGTGATGAAATGTGTGGAGAGAACCCCCACCAACGAACAGGATGAGAAGATGGCTGGAGCTTCCTTTACCTGGATATACAGTTGCTGCAGTGGGACCCCTAAGTGCTGGTTGTGGGTCTTTGGAGCCGGGCTGAGCCAAAGCAGGGATGGGCTTAGGGTGTCCAATGCTTAAAGCACCTGTTTCCAGGGGGGGGAAGGGGAGAGAAAAGACATTAATTGTAATGAACTCCAACTGCTTCCATCCATGTCACATCTGGACAGGAAGAAGCGGTCACCATGATGTGAAAAAGATGTTGAGACTCTAGAAAGAGTACAGAGAAGAGCACAAAGATGATTAGGGGACTGGAGGCTAAAACATATAAGGAACGGCTGCTGGAATTGGGTATGTCTAGTTTAACGAAGAGAAGGACGAGGGGGGACATGATAGCAGCCTTCCAGTATCTCAGGGGCTGCCCCAAAGAAGAGGGAGTCAAGCTATTCTCCAAAGCGCCTGAAGGCAGGACAAGAAGCAACGGGTGGAAACTAATCCAGGAGAGAAGCAACCTAGAACTAAGGAGAAACTTCCTGACAGTGAGAACAATTAACCAGTGGAACAACCTGCCTCCAGGAGCGGTGAATGCTCCAACACTGGACGTTTTTAAGAAGAGACTGGACAGCCATTTGTCTGAAATGGTGTAGGGTTTCCTGCCTGAGCAGGGGGTTGGACTAGATGACCTCCAAGGTCCCTTCCAACTTTACTATTACTATGGATCATCGCACAGTCAGCCAGATGTTCAGACTGGATTTGGCATTTTTGCCTACCTATCGAGTCCTTTCCCAGGACCTGGGATAGGCAGATGTGGATGTTTGATGGTATCACAGATCTCGTCGCAGGATGGAAGCAGTTCCTAGTAAGGCCGCCTTTTGCAATTGACTAATGGCGAATTTGTCAATGCCAATGGTGTTCAAGTGGTGCTCCAGTTATTTTGGGAATTATTATTACTATTATTATTATTATTATTATTATTATTATTATTATTATTATTATTATTATTATTATTATTATTATTATTATTATTATTATTATTATCACCTGGACAACAGGCCCTTTTGCGGTCCTGCGGGGAGTCGGCCAGCATCAGCTCCTCCCCATCTGGGTTCTCAATGAGCATAGCTGTGTAGGGGGTCACGATGTGATGGTCCAGCGACATCTGCAAGATGGCCTTGGTGATGTTTCTTTTCAAGGAGGCGGTGGGAGCCACGTTTCTGGGGCAACATCAAAAAACAAAGGTGAAGGCTAAGCCCAAACGCAGAGGATTGAACCGATAAAAGAGAGCATTCGTAGCTCGGGGTTGTTGACCTGTGGGGTCCTGGGTGGTCCCCGAGCTTGGTCGTCCCTTCTTACCTTTCAGCCATGAGTTGGTTGACGGTCAAGTAGGCCCACAACTTTTCCGTGAATTTGGGATCGGCGTTTTTATTCTTGCTCAGGAAGTCATCCAGTCCCTCAACATCTGCCAGAATCTCCAAGATCAGCTGTGCGTTGGACTGATGGACAAACAAACACGAGCAGAGAAATGACCCACGTATAAGCTAGCAGAGCCAACCTCAATCTTTTGGGCTTCTCACGATCTCCTAAAACGGTTACAGGGAGTCTTCGACTTACGGCCACAATTGAGCGCCCCCCCCAAATTCCTGTCGCAAAGCAAGACACTTGCGAAGTGAGTTTCGTCCCGTCTTTCAATCTTTCTTGCTACGGTGAGTCGCTGCAGTTTTTACGTTAGTAACACGGTGGTTAAGTGCATCCAGCTTCCCCAATGACTTTGCTTGTCAGAAGGCCGCAAAAGGTGATCGCGTGACCCCAGGACACTGCAACCGTCACAGGTACATGCCAGTTGCCAAGCGTCTGAATTAGGATCGCGTGACTTGGGGATGCTGCAGTGGTCATAAGTGTGAAAAAGGGTCGTGAGTCACTTTTTTCAGTGTCATTGTGTAGCGGAGGTGGGATGAGAATGGGGCCAGCTGAGCGATTTTGCAGGAGCCCTGCCGATGTGGCAGGAAGAGGAGGAGCTGCGGCAGCTGGTGGCAGGGCGGGGCTCGGAGGAGGGAAGAAAAAGGAGGAGAAAGCCGATAGAAGGGAGGGAGAAGGCTTGCTGGAGCTTGCTGTTCTGAGCCAGCTGATCGAAGAGAGAGTAAGAAGCTGGGGTTTTCACATTTGCTTTTTCTGCTTCATTAACAGGCAAGCCGGACAAAAAGGGGAGGGATAGAGTGAGAGTAGTTTCTGGAGTTGTTTGCTTGAAGCAGGCCAGGCAGGGAGAGATAGAGGGTGAGAGTAGTTGCTGGAGCTGTTTGCTGGAAGTAGGCCAGGCAGGGAGAGATAGAGGGTGAGAGTAATTGCTGGAGCTATTTGCTGGAAGCAGGCCAGGCAGAGAGAGAAAGAGAATGGGAGTAGCTTGCCGGAGCTGTTTGCTTGAAAGGCTAGCTAGAGAGAGAGACAGAGAGAGGGTGAGAGTGGCTGGTTGGAGCTGTTTGTTTGAAGCAGGCCAGGGGGAGAGAGAGAGAGAGAGAGAGAGAGAGAGAGAGAGAGAGAGAGAGAGAGAGAGAGAGAGAGAGAGAGAGAGAGAGAGAGAGAGAGAGAGAGAGAGAGAGGTGGGGAAAGGTGAAGTTATATTATTTCTTTCTCTTTCATTGCGGGCAGGCCAGACGAAGAGAGGGAGAGAGGGTAGTTTGGGGAGTTTTAATTCCTTTCCCTCGTTGGAGTAAGCTAGGCAGAGGGAGAGTTAGAAAAGAGTTTGACATACGTCTTTTAGTGGGAAGTAAGAGGTTTTTGTTTTACAGGATCAGCTGGGGGAGATAAAAAGGGATTACATGGAGTGAGGTCAGAGAGGGACGAGGAGAGTGGACAAGGGAGGCCTCTGCCAGCGCCAGAGATTGACTGCCATCATTTTAGGCAAGTTGTTGTCATCAAAGACTGATTAACATTGTTCTGGGCAAGTCGTTGCCACCAGAGACTGGCTACCATTGTTTTAGGCAAGTTGCTGTCACCAGAGACTGACCGCCATTGTTTTAGGCAAAGTTGTTGTCACTAGAGACTGACTGGCATCATTTTAGGCAAAGTTGTTGTCACCAGAGACTGACTGGCATCGTTTTAGGCAAAGTTGTTGTCACCAGAGACTGACTGGCATCATTCTGAGCAGGTTGCTGCGACTGGAGACGGACTACCATTGCCTTTTGCCAGCTGCTGTTATCAGGAATGGACTACTATCTTCCCTGTAAGTTCTTATTGCCTGAGATCAACCACCATCGTCCCACGTGAGGCACCATCGAGAGAGAGAGCGACCATCACCGCCCCATCTGCGTGGCTGCCGATCGTGACTGAATACTACCGTGTTACGTGCCGTTAGGCAAAGGCGCCAACGTGAGAGACTTCCTTGGGCTGGTGGCCACTTGGAGGGGAGGTTGGGAGGGCCCGGACTTAAGTGGTCTCTACGGGATTGGCGCTACAATTGTAACTTTGAACTGTCACTAAATAAATAATTGTAAGTTGAGGATTACCTGTGCTGTACTTTCTCAGGTTTTCCTGGAATCTCTCATCCAAGTTCTAACCTTACTTAACATTTCATGACTAGCCAAGATAAATTTTTGCTGTCACTTAAGTTGGTTCTCTGTAGCTAGAGGGAAAATATCAGCTTTGGAGAAGGACATACAGTCTCCTTCAGTCTGGAAGAGTCGTGATTTCTCTATAAAAGTTTGAGAAAAATCCCTACAATTTCACAAACTCATCATGTTCAGATACTATCAAGGTGGACTTACAGCTGTGGCTGTTATCACACTCTGTAAATGCTGCACATTTTCAGTGTCGACTTTTCCCGATACCACAATCTCTGACCCTCCAAAATAGTTCTGGAAGGTGCTCTGGGTTACATCGGACACGACTCCTTCGGGATAGTTGAACTCCAGTTTTTTGAGAAGTGGGGTGGAAACCTGGTTGTAGAATTTCTGCAAATTCAGGGGGGAAAAAACCCATAGACATTAGAAGTTTACTTCTGAAAGACGCTTGTTCCTGATGTGTGATATACAGGCAGTCCTTGACTTACAACCACAATGGAGCCAAAAACTTCCATTGCTAAGTGAGACAGTGGTTAAGTGAATTTTGCTCCATGTTATGACCTTTCTTGCCACAGTTGTTAAGTGAATCACTGTAGTTGTAAAGTTAGTAACAAGTTTCTTAAGTGAATCCGGCTTCCCCATTGAGTTTGCTTGCTGGAAGGTCGTAAAAGGGGATCATGTGACCCCGGGACACTGCAACTGTCATAAATATGAGTCAGTGGCCAAGCGTCTGAATTTTGATCATGTGACCACGGGGATGCTGCAACAGTCATAGGGGTGAAAAATGGTCATGATTTTTAAGTGCTGTATTAACTTTGAACGGTCACTAAATGAACTGTTGTAAGTCGAGGACTACTTCTATGACCCCCATTGAGCACAGGCGTAAAGGACACAGATATATCCCATTTCCTAAGGATCATAATCCATTCACAATAAAAATAGAGGGGAAAAAAAGTAGAGCACGTTTGGAAGAGTGGTTTAGGTACTGCCTAGAAACCAGGAGACAGTGAGTTCTAGTCCCGCCTTAAGCATGAAAACTGGCTGGGTGGCTTTGAGCCAATTATCAGAAGATGGTGAATTCTAGTCCTGCCTTAGGCATGAAAGCTGACTGGGTGACTTTGGCCACCAATCACCAAGAGATTGTGAGTTCTAGTTGCATCTTAAGCATGAAAGCTGGCTAGGTGACTTTGAGCCAATTACCAAGAGACGGTTCTAATCCCACTTTAAGCATGAAAGTTGGCTGGGTGATTTGGGGTCAATTACCAGGAGATGGTGAGTTCTAGTCCTACCTTAGGTATGGAACCGATTTAAGGTCTTTGGACCAATCACTAAGAGATGGTGAGATCTAGTTGCATCTTAATCAAGTAAGCTGGCGAGGTGACTTTGGGCCAGTTACCAGGAGACAGTGAATTCTAGTTTCACCTTAAGCCTGAAAGCCAGCTGGGTAACTTTGGGCCACTCACCAGGATACACCATAAATAGTGTATATGTCTTGATGCAGGGGGAGAATGTCTTCACAGGGGGAGAATGTCTTCAAGCAGAAATAATTTTGGTCCAAGGTTAATAAAAAGGCCTTCTCTATCAGAAGTCCCAGAACCCTTCCATCATTAACTTTACAGATTTTTGTTGGCACAGCCTAAATGAATTAGGTCAAAATATAAAAGGTAGCCACCATCTGAACTGGTTTTAAACTGGTGACCTAGAACTGTAATGGAGAAAGCCAACAAGGCATTAAGATACAGTAAATGGTATTTTGAGTTGAGAAATAGCATAGTTTATGTTTATGAAAGCCTGTCAAAGATCAGAATAACCTGTTAGGTTAGGACTTCTCCTCCTCCCTTCCTTTACTTCACCAAGGATGGTGGAAAAGTCACCTTCATTTGGGAAGAGGTCTCTTGATTCCCAAAGATCCGTTGCGCGGCTCCATTGTTTTCAGTCGCCAACCTCTTCAGAAAATCATAGTCCACATCAAAGCCGATTCCAAGACAGAACAAGGAGATGTCATTCTGGATATGCTTCTTCACATTTTTCTGAATCGTTGGCAGCTTTAGTTCTCCTGATATGAAGAAAAAAAGACAAAAATCAGGACATCCTTTCAGGATTGTCCTCTTACAGCAGCAGGGGTGTCCAACCTTGGCAACATTAAGACTTGTGGACTTCAACTCCCAGAATTCCCCAGCCAGCAATGCTGAAGGTCCAGCTCTTACCGACAGTTGGGTCTCCGTCTGAAACCAGTATTATCATGGAGACAGAACTTGGATCTAGCATCCCCAAAGTGTTGGCTTCATTTAAAATAAAGATGGCCCGGAGAAGGGCATCGTTGATGTTGGTTCCTGTTAAAAATTAAAAAGGCGACAATTTGTTTTTTAAAAAAATCATATTATTGTACTTCCATTGTTTATTTTTAATACATGAAGCCAGAGAAAGAGGAAGAGGAGGAGGAGGAGGAGGAGGAGGAGGAGGAGGAG